GTTATTCAAAAAATTAACGATTTATATAAAGCTTAATCGAAGGTTATCAGAGTGCAGAAATCGGAATCTTCAATCCGATTCTCACAATTTTGAAGTTTGTTTCCTAGTCAAATAAACTTGTGCCGTTTACCAATGCTTCAACTTCATAAAAACTGATAATTTTCTTAAAAACTCTTCCTTGCTGGAAAAAATTTAGTTCAGAATTTTGAAAATCTTATTGCAGATTCAGATTTTTCGAGTGCAGTTACCTTCGGTATGACGTTTTTTAGACAGAAGAAGGGTTAGTGGAAGTGAAATTACACTTTATTCGATTTCTTGATATCATAAACCGCATTTTCATACAAATGTTTCTACGTTTTATGTGCTTAAGCATCAAAACTAAGCAAGTATCACCATATAACGGTGTGAATAATATACTATAGGATAAGAACAAAGTTTAGAGCAATAATAAAGTGCGTCATAAGGACAAAGCGCATGAGAAGAACAAAATATTAGGCAAGCCTAACCTGCATTGTCACATTCGGTTCAGCTTTATAGAAAACTATTCTTTTCTCAACAAAAACCATTCTATAGCGAAAAGCCTAACGCTATAGCAAAATGAACATCCCTCAATGTAAGTGGCTTAGTAATGGATTAGAATAGTGACAGGCTCACCCATAATCAATGCCAATCCTGACCAATTCTAGACCAATATCTGACTAATTGCTAACCTATTCCAACCAATGCCAACCTATTCCTATAGTTTATATCAAATATTAGATGTAGTATGCAGCAAAGGTATAAGAATTCGGTAATAGTTTCTATCTAAGAAACTATTTGAAGCGATCTCTAATGAGAGCTGATCGATTTGACTTTAATAAGCCATCTACACTGAAAATAACATAAGGTAATACGCGAAACCGTGCAAGGGTTCCGGTTCTTGAAACAAAGCCGAAGTTCCTGTCAGGTTTCGTACAAACAAGGCTCCGTACGGATTCTTCTTCTTGTATTTCATATAAAAAGGTTCTGCAGCACGGTTCTCGTACTAGACTCAGTGTTCTACTAATACATTTACGCATGCAAATCTATCCGTTAATCATTGATTCCGAAATCTTCCCCTGGAATTGGTCCTTCACTCCTTTTCGTACACTGGAAAAAAATAGGTACCTTGTCTGCCCATTCTATTTCAAAAATCAAAACCTTTAAAAAGACCTTGTATGAACCCAAGTTACCTTCAAAATGATTTTCAGCGGCCTAGGAATCTTTTTCAGAGGCACCGTCGATCTTCTACGAAATCCAAAAAAAGTTCAGAATTCGTTTCAAAAATCGAAAACTTTTTTGGGTTTCATACTATGTGCGAAAATATTTTTTAGTCCCGCAGCAAGTACGAAACCTCTTTGGTTTAATGTTCATACCATTTTTTCCCCTGTAGATTTAACTCCCTTACTTATTTTTGAACCTTCTTTTTCTGAATTTATTCCCTTCCATTTATGTATTCTTAACCCTTACTCCTAAACCTAATTCTCTTAATCCTTCCGTAGCAACCTTTTCCTGAATTGTTTTGCTCTCCTCGTTGCTAAATCTATATCCTCAAATCGATTGTTCATCCCTAATGTTGAATCTAAATCGGAAAATCTCTCCTTAAATGTCTAAATCTGCACCTTTAAATCCATACTTAACCTTCACTGCTGACTTTAAATTGCTAAATCAATCGTTCACCACTGCTTTTTATATCAAACTTATTATTTCAGTATTGAAAGTTTCATATATGTATATTATTCCTTCAGATCATGCGTAGGCCAAAATATCTACGTCTCTAAGCCCTTATTTTTACATTGAACAGTTTATTGCAAAATCCAAATCTTTACACATCTTCTCAACGCCTGTTTTTGTGTACAGAGCAATAATTGTGTGCACAACCCGTTATTTAAGAATCTAAACTATTTTATTTATCCTAAAGCACCTCGTTATGTTTTATTTTTTATGACCATTATTAACACTGCATATCTATATTGTACTCCTTAAAGCAATCCTGAATCTCGTATTTTAATGTCTAACTGCTGACCTTGATTCTTCATACTTTACAAATAAACTTGAAACTGTATATCCATGGTAAATGTGTTACTCCTTAATTTGAAGTCTTGTTTGTATCTTCAAGCTGTCTTTTACTATTTTTAGTACCTTACCGCGTTGTATAATCTGTTTCATCTGTGCATAAAATTTCGTTCGAAAGCATAACATTAAAGTTTTGTACTAAGAAATACGAAAGTTGAACGTTGTCCTTTGATTTTGGTGGACGATTTTCGTGGTACTGTAAACGAGTGAGTTGAGGAGTGAAGTGTGGTACGTCGAAGATGCTGTTGCTGAACATGTCCTCGGGCTATAGTTGATCGAAGAAAGAAGTTGGATTTCATGAGAAACTTCTTGACCATTATATGATTACTATTGATGTTTCGCGAAGCCTTATCAATGGTAACAACTTTTTCATTGGCGAACCAGCAGCAAAATATTTGGTGTGATAATAGCTGGGAGAAATCGTGTTAGGGATCAATTTTTGTCAAACTATCGTTCATTTTGAATATTTTTGCTATGGCAACTGCCACACCCTACCATGCTGGGGACCCGCCGACGGAGTCTGAATGGACCTTGTTCTTTCTGATTTTGAAACCAATAGGAAAGCATAATATTCAAAAAATAGAATATGAATCAAATATGCTTGCAAACATAAGGCTTTACCTAATCTTTCTTTTCTTAATTAAAAAACTATCTCGCAGACGCTTTTAAATTCCATAAAAACCAAAAAAGGACAAATAAATAATCAATGTTCACATCAGCTCTAGAAAAAAATAGGTAAATCAACCGTATCTGAAGATGCTTCTATGGAAGAGCAAAAGTCACTTCTGGACTTAGTTTTTCTTTTTCCTAGCTCTCGATTAAAGGTTGGATCGAAAAGAACGGGCGTACAGGAAAGCGTATAAGGAATAAAAATTTTCGGTATGGCAACCGTCATACCTTGTCATCATGGTGGCCCACCGATGAACTTTTTAAAGTTTTTCACGAAAACTCTTGACCAATTTACGTTTAGTGAATACTATATACGAAACCCTTGACAAGAAAAACACTCTTTTAAGGTTTTCATGAAACTTAGTTCATTCCGAAACCTCTTGAAAGTTCTGTAAAGTCGCATGATACCAAACCAGATTTGATGAAATTCTACGGGACTTCGAAGATTCAGTAGTGTACCCTTTTTTCAGTGCACATTGATGGAATTCAACGTACGTCACTGTGCCGATATATGCGTCACGGCTCGCCGCTCTTCCTCTTTTTTCTTTCTCTCTCTATTGTTCTCTCAGTGACGTCTCTCTCTTTGTTTCTCTATCATATATAAGCGTGTGTTGAATGTGCAATAGACACATTCTAGAGATGTAAAGTAGCTAATAAACATCATTACCGAGGGTGGCAGTAAGCTACTCCTCTAGTCTGTCATCTTACCCCTCTTTTTATTTATCGTTAAAGTCACTTCATTAATTATTATATGAACACTATCAGACGGGTGAAACTAAAATCAATGAATACATAAATGCCATATTCATTTACTTACTAAAAAGTAATATTGAAGTAGTTACTAGTAACTAAGTAAGTCGAGTAGTTACTTGAGAAAAGTAACTATAGCAGTTACTAGTTACTACTAACTAAGTAGCTATAGTAGTTAGTACCCATGTAAAAAAAAGTAGGCAAAAGCCAACTATTGAGTACTTTCAAAAGTAGATTTTAAACAGGAAAAAGTATTTGTAAGTGAACCTTTTTTAGTACTTTTCATACTTTTTGACTAAAAAGTACTATTGGAAGTGTGAAAAAGTGATAGAAGTCACTTAGAAAAGTAATAAAAAAGTAATAAAAATTACTTTATTTTTCTGTACTAATATTAATAGTATTTTATAGTATATTTTATTTAAGAAAATACTTTTGAGTACTTCTATTATCAATACAAAAAAATTAATTAAGCGTTATTACTTTTTTTCACTTTTCTAAGTGAATTCCATCACTTTTTCACACTTTCAATAGTATTTTTTGGTCAAAAAGTATGAAAAGTATTTAAAAAGGTTCACTTACAAGTACTTTTTCTTATTTAAAATCTACTTTTGAAGGTACTAAATAGTTGGTTTTTGCCTACCTTTTTTTACATGGGTAGTTACTAGTTACTAGTAACTAAGTAACTATGTAGTTACTTAGTTACCAGTAACTAAGTAAATATGTAGTTACTAATTACTAGTAACTAAGTAAATATGTAGTTACTTAGTTACTGGTAACTAAGTAACTATGTAGTTACTATTTACTAGTAACTAAGTAAATATGCAGTTACTAGTTACTGGTAAATAAGTAACTACGGTAGTTACTTAGTTACTAGTAAAGTAAAGGTAAAGTCCCACCCCTAGAGTACATATTATAAAAAGTCACACTATATATTGTACTTGACTAATAGTCGTCTGAATAACGAACTAAAATTGTTTAAAGTTCTTTTTTGAAAATTATTTATGAAGAAGAATGTATGTGTATATGCATTAATTAAACTCGATAGTGACGCCAACATATTTAGGCATAATAGTCAGTCTTGTTAAATGATCGCCTGCATTCACAACAGGACCACCATCACCGAATGTAACATGTTGTATTAATCGAGCTATGATCACTTTCAGCTCAAATCGACTCAGATCTTGTCCAATACATTGACGACGACCACCGTCAAACGGAATAAATGCATATGGATGATGGTACTTGTCTTTGCCTAGAAATCTTTCTGGATCAAAAAGATCAGGAGAAATTGACCAATGTTGAGAATCTCGTGCCAGTGTGTGAATTGGAATAACAATTTGATCTCCTTTGAATAACTGAGCACCACTATTCGGTGGACGGCCATCAACGGTCAATGTACGAAGTACAACATCACCAGGTGGAGAAAAGCGAAGTACTACTTTAATAACACAATCCAAATAGACGAATGAATCGAGACGATCCATTGATAAATCTTGACTAACAAGGCCACCCGTCACTTCTGCTTTGAGTTTTTGTTGGACTCGTGGATGTTTGCTCAACAGATGAATAGACCATGCCAAGGCGGTGGATGTGATTTCAAATCCAGCCATTAAAAATGCAATCATCTCATGCAATACCTCAGTTCGTGAGAGAGGGTATGGGTGTGGGCGTGAGTGTGAATCCTTTCTTTAACAAGGACCCACACCCACACCCTTCAATTTCGACATTGTCATAAACAGCATCAACATAAATAACAACAGTGGATTCTATTAAAAAAGAAAAAGAAAAAGAGAACGAGAGAAGTGCATGGTGATCATGACGAAGCATTTTTTTTTGTCCATTACATGTCGTCTATTTCGAGTATAAAAGGTAACGTCGACGTGCTCATTATAAACATTACAATTTTTACTGGCACTTACATAGCAACATACTTCGTCGTTTTTTTTATACAGCTGTTACTAACCTATACAAGATAAATATGGTTAAAGTACACGTTGTTTATTGTGGTGGATGAGGTTATGGGAGCAAGTTTCAGCAGGTCAGAGATGAACTGAAGAAAGCTTGCTCCAATACAGATGTTGATATTGTAAGTTATGATTTATTTATTTTACATTAAATTTATGATTGAAAAATAAATCAATCTTAGACTGGTGAATCAACACCTGAAGTCACCGAATTTTTCGAAGTTACCGTTGGGTGTGGGTGTGGGTGTGAATTGAGATAACATTAACACGCACACCCACTGACACACGTATACCGCCACCCATACTGACACTCTTTATTAAAATAAAAATTAATTATTTATCATTCCATGATTGATATTCTAGATATGTAGTCAATGAAATTTGTAAATTAAAAAAACAGAAGATTAGAATATTCTGTCGATGGTCCGATGAATATTTATTTATTCATTGTATTTAAATCATTTTAGAACAATATCTGTAAAATAGTTCGCAAAGTATAATAACTATTAATTATTGCTCAGAAAGGAAGAAAGATAAAGAAAGGATTCATCAAATTTAATTGAGAACATTAAATGAATCAATATCATTCGGACGAATTTCACTAACGAAGAATATACGATCATTAATACTTAAAGCTAAATCATGTTATTCACCAAATTTTTAAAACAAAAAATGATTATACTAACTTTTACTGAAAAATAAAACAAACATCATTTGATTCCCAAGTAGCAATTTAATTGTCCAAAAGATTCCGAACGAAAACTACATATAAAACCAACTAATCGATTTTTTTCATTTATTCAACTAACCGCATAAAGACGAACTATTTTAAAATAAAAATTCTTCAATTTTAATTTACGTTTATTTGCATCATAATTGACTGTATAAACAGTATTCAGTAATGGATGGCCAATAAAAAGTTTAACTTCACCATCATGATCAAGTCCAGCATCGAAACAAACAATTTTATTATTTAATAAATTAAATTTTTATCAAAAGATGAATTACAATGAAATATTTACCGTTGCTTTTCTCTATCAGCAACACAAACAAGATCTAATATTTCAATAAGAATAATACTATGTGGGATAACAAGTTGATGTTCACCTTAAGACATCGTACTTATATTCTTTTAAAAAATTTTCTTTTGAATCAAATTTGACAATACGAGAATTACAATATCCATCAACGACATATATATATATTTCATCCATCACTTGATACAACAATGTCAATTAGTTTACAGAAATGTGATAGATCATTACCAGGAATAAATGGATCACCTAATGTTAATGTGCATTCACCTTTTGAATATTTAAATATCTAAAATCAATTATTTGAATATCCGAAAACGATTTTGTTTTTCTTTTCTACTTGATGTATTCCAACATTTGTCAGTCACAGATTTCCTTCTGTATCTAAGGAAAAACTATGAGGAATGTAAAATCTTAAATAAAATATCGAATTAACTTTATTTATTAAAATAACGAAAGACGTTTATGTGTCGTTTCCCTATTGATTAACAATTTGACCAGTACAAGTATTTATAGCAAGAAGGGTGTAGGTGCAGGTGTGAGTATAGGTCAAGCGCATGAACAAGATCTCCACCCACACTCACACCTATCTCATTTAGAAGTAAATAGTCTACTTTGTATTTTCATATACTTCTTTGTGGTTCAATATAACGGGTGGACCATAAAGAATTGTCCTCTTAGTATTTTTAACATTTCTACTCTATTATCCCTGTGATTCAAACACCTTTTTTTATCAAAAGATAAAAAAAAACACACAAAAAGCGGTAGAAAGTAACGGGTTGTACATTAATGAATGGCCACGCTTTGCATCCTATTTTTTCATCACTTACTTCGCCCTATTAGATAAATAAAGTATACCAAAAGATGCAGCGTGAACAGCTCTACAATTTACACAAGATCTGCTATTTTATAGTTGCACTTTTTGTTTTCAAAATGGACAAAACTTTGAGCAATCGAATTTCGATCGGGCGAAAATGATATTTTTTTTGGTACAAGATGAATTCTTTTTTTCTTATTTTCTCTTTTTTATAATTTGTCCTTTGTAAATTGTAGAGTTTTTCACGCTGCATCTTGTAGTGCATTTTATTTTTTTTTAAATAAAACATATCAGGTAATAAGAAGATGAAATAAGAAAAAACGAATTCACCTTGTACTAAAAAAAATATTATTTTCGCACGGTCGAAATTTGGTCGCTCAAAATGTTGTCCATTTTGAACACAAAAAGTGCAACTATAAAATAGGCGGTCTTATATAAATTGTAGATCTTTTCACGCTGCATCTCTTGGTTTATTTTGTTTCTTAATAGGACGAAGTGATGAAAACATTAGATACAAAGCGCGATCCTTCATTATGTACAACCCATTATTTTTTACAGCTTTGTGTGTCTTTATTTTTCATCTTTTTTCAGACATATCTAAAATAGTTTTAAGATCTATTCATATGTAGTTCTGTAGAGAATTTCAAGAGCTATCTTTTGATAAAAAAAGGTGTTTAAATCACAGGGATAATAGAGAAGAAATATTAAAAATACTAAGAGGGCAATTCTTTATGGCCCACCCGTTACTTCTGCACCATCAGTATAAACAAATGCAAAATTTTTACTTTTCAGAGAGATGCTTGATAGCATTTTTTGGTATGAAACAGACAAAATTGAAAAGTAGTACACAAAAATATAGTTAAATATATAAAAACGAGGATCTCTTATAACTGTGACTAATTTTCATAATCGTGATTTAGTAGACAATGTTTAAACATCAGTTAACAAGACTCATGAAATGTATTTTCCTATGATAATGTATGATTTTAAATATTGAAATGAGCATTGCAGGAAGAAAAAAACTTTTCAGCATAATCTTGCACGATTAAAATATGAAACACGATAGATTCGTGCCCACTGGTCAAGAGAACCCTACCAAAGCAGACAGAAAAACGCTAAACGAAAGTACTTTATATTCGAGCTGAAGATCGAAAAAATATTCTCAATCTTGTCAATTGAATGAAGAGTCTTCGAGTGTTGAATGTCAAATGTCAAGATGACAAGTAGAATAAAGTCAATGATTCATTATGGGTATAGAATGATCTTATAGGATGGTTGATACATTTTTGTCCTTCATTCTCGAATAGAATTGATTGAATCGAAACGAAAATCGACTCTTTCTCAATGATCGACAAGGAACACACTCACGGAAATGTATTCTCTTATTAAAGGTGAAGACATTGTCGATCATCTGATATTGAATGTAGAGAACGATTCGATCATTGATCATGGATCGATTGAATTCTTAAAGAGATTTGTTTTCATAATTCTTAGTCTTCAATGAGAACATAACGAACTTTTAAATAGAACTTGAAGAATTGAAAAGAACATCTGATCGAGTAGAATAAGACAAAACGTAATTGATCGATTCCATTCGAGAAACAATCGAATTTCGAATGATTACAACTCGAAGAATCTCTTTTGTTTTCAAATTGATTTCAAAAAGATGTCATATTGTCGAGTTTGATCTTGTTCCGAAAACACTTCTTTTGTTCACTATTCGAATTGACTCTTCAACTGATTGTTTTCGTTATCTTCTATTTAATTGTTCGACTATCCTCAAAAACAAAGAGACGAGTAAAATCAAAGATTTTTACTTGACACGTTGTTCTCTCTCTATCAAATTTATCACAATGAGTTCTCAACGACGATCGACTTTGGAAATGAACATTTGTCAAGAAGAATTACTTGCAAGAAAATGTCCGATGAAAAGCATTGTAATCATCAATTCTGTATTGTCCAATATTAAAACGAAACGATCGGGATTTACATAGACTTTAGAGCAACATTTGAGGATTAATACTGGTTAAAAATCAGCACATGAATTTGAAATCGAATTTCATCTAATCAATAGCCGAAAGTCGTTTAATAGCTTTGGAAGAACATCTAGGCAAAGTTTCTCATGATTAAACTTCTATCAATTCAAACTATTGTGAGTAATTATTTAATTGGGTTGTAAAGATCAAATTCTGTGAAATCTTTTTACAAGATATTTAATCATCTATTCTTCTTTCTTGAACACAACTGGATAATAATTCGAACTATAGATATTCTATTTATTTTTCTGTTATCATATCAAAAACAATATCTTAAAATGACAGGACATATCAAACACAATAAGACAATTCATACACTTGAAGAACAAATAAATTTCTAAACATGATCGATCTTGCTGTGATGTATTTTTTTGTTTTTAACATATGCACCGATTTGAACTTGATCGATAGATGTTTGTTGTTGATAAATAGCTCGAATTTCCATAGTCGACAAGCATCGCTTGAAAGCAATGAGATCGGCGATACGAGCTTCGATCTGTGATTGTACTGAGTAATTGTTTACTTTGCAACTCAGCAAAATCGAATTGTAAGAGGAACGTCTCATTGTGTGTTTATTCCACGCTCGATGCTGATCGAAGTTTTTCAAATCTTGTCCATTGATCCATATGCGATAGCTAGTTAGTGATTCAATGTTAGCTAAAACAATATGTATCCACTGATCACCCAACAATATTTGCTTCTCATTGATGACATTACGTATCTGATCAGCACGAAGACAGGTATGTAAGCCTAGAATATGCGTATCTTTAATTT